AACCGATTTTACTATAGTTTCCTCGCAAACCGATTTTACTACGGCTCAATAGGCCTTCTCATACCAGAGTTATGAGCTTCTCTTTTTGAGAAACACTCCTTCAGAGAACGCTCCGCCCACAACGGGCGGGTCTCCCAGATTCGACTTTTCAACTCAGTGCACACCTTTACCATTTTTTCGGGTCTTTTGGCTGCACCTATACCCAAACTCGAGACTTCTGCCGTCGGCAGCTCCTAATTCGACGCCCCCGCCCACTGTGGGCGGAGTTTCCCATGGTCCATGTCTGCCCCGTGTAGCCTGACTCATTCTCTACCCATCCCAAACTTGACCTGGACTCTGATGGTGGTTTCCTTAGATAGTACTTAATTTTTTCAAATAGACACACAAAGGCTTAGCGCCTCTATATCCCCTCTATCCTCTTATATATAAAGCAGCAGTTTGGTGTGTTTGTCTGTCTGTCACCGCTAGGGGGGGGGGGTTATAACGCGGTTGAAGCGGGAAATTCTCTACTTCCCTCATTCTGCCCTTCACCCCCAAATACATAGAACAACTCCGTTTCCCTACCAACCTTCTCAAATACGGCCCCTCCCGAATAACTCAAATACCACTCCCTCAATTGAGAACAGCGCAACGCACTTTAACCCTGCCACGACAGTCCATCCTCTTCAGCCGTGTCTCGCGCGCGGTATCGTGCGCAGCTAAACTGGTAGATAAATAAACGTGCGCAGATCCAAATAGAGAGCCGCTAGCGACATTCCTAGGTATTTATTTCGAATCGCAAACTTGTCCACTCTTTTTGGTCACCGAACCACCAACCTCATTCGTGGGAAGGATTGGTCTAATTATCTGGTCATGGAATAGGCCTTAATCAATACTTTCTTAACGACACAGCATGTGTCTTTCTTAAGATCTGACAGTGAGGATCACAGGATTTACGAACATATTGTGAAACCTGTGAAGTAATCCTATAACAGGATAGCGTGCCATGAAGTTGGCGTATGAAAGGGAGCTTGTCACCGCTTCCTCAAAAAGTCTACTACTACTCAGCACACCCTCGCTAAAATGTCTGTGCTACCTACATTAGCTCACATTCGCTAGCCCACGTCATTTAATTGCGACCACATGTCTTCACGTGAGTCGAAGCTAAGTACCGTGTTAGTAAACCACATCAGTGCTAATTAAGAGCCATATTAGTCTTCCAACTCAATCTCGCGATTATCATCATGGGTGACAGCATTTGCCAGCACCTTACTTCAACACAAGTAGGGACGCATGCATAGAACGTGTGCAGCATGCATCAACAAGAAATTCTCTACAGCATGCAACAAAAAATTGTCCTTATTTAAAAGAGAGGGAACGGAATGCAATGCACGATTTTTCGACGAGCGCAGTGATGTTCATCCTGCGTTTATCAAATGGGATTTCAAGCACAGCATGGACGCAGCTACCAAAACTGCGCACGCCAAAAAAAACTTCCCCCATCTTGCATGAAAAATGGAAAGCCTTCTTGAACAGAACGGGCGTAGGAGCCACCCATGGTAGTCCGTGAGCCAATTTCAAGGGGCTTTCAGTTTTCGCAACTACATTCGAGCAATCGAAACCGATCACGCTATTGACTTGAAATCCGTTCAAGACGCTTCGAAGGTTCTGGGATTCCAAGCCGGCAAAAGCCGTTCAGGAACCCGGAATCTCTATAAAAACCTCATGAAAGGGCTAGAGACGGACGTGAGGACAGCCATTTGCACGCCACGATGAATATCTCTACCGAGCGGCTGCAGGTGTTGCATCAAAAATGATAGAGGTAGCTTTGAATGAGAATGTTGGATGTGTTCTTTATTGGACAGTGAATTGCTAGTTATAGTAAGGATTCGAGCTGATGACCCATTCGGCAATTCTAGCACTCAGTTATGACTCTTAGCAGCAAACGCCGAAAAGAAACTTGTAAGCTGCTCCTCATTTTTCAATAAAGAACATCTCTGTATTATAACGAGAAATTTCAGTGAAATCAACAGCAGGCAAAGTTGCAAAGCAAGTTAATTTGTAAGTTAAGAAAAAAACCATCGGAGGATTCCTGAGGATGAAGCAGCACTACCACCAGTAGCAGAAAGGAAGGGCTGAGCAAAGCATGGAGAAGGCTTTAGCACGAGACCGCCACACAACGGCTACTAGGCACCGTCTACTCAGCAGACTGTAAGCCAGCACTCTCCTCACCCATCATTTCGCAATTGACCTATGGAACTAAATTCAAAATTCTCACATCCGCAATATATAGTAACAGCAGATTCTAGTCAACCTTCAAAACAGGATGACTCTTTTCTCGATTTCTATTCTATTGGACGGACTACTTCCCCACTAAATTCGTTTCTGGTTCAAAGGACTGTCTTACCACTGTTAGGGATACCATGGAGATGTACCGCACTTTCACAAGATTTCTGTGATTGAGCTACCCTCCTATGAATTTGTCAACAATCCAGCGTAACCTGTAAAAATATCACCAAAGATTTGAAGCGTGCGAGTGCTGAAGGAATTGTGATTATGGATGCCGTAGTCACGTGGCGTATCAATTACGCGAGTGCGGAGTGCGCGGCCGCGTAGCTTCAAGACAGGCGCGCTGACGAGCGGCAAGGTGTAGCCAAACATGCCCCCTGCTGCACACCGTTTTACACTGAATATCTCCAACAAAAAGTTCACAGTTAGGAAGGTTATGGAATTCGTTAGTCAGGAGTGAAATCTATACTATCAAGGAAGTATTTATAGGGAAATCCATAATACGTAATGCGCGATGTAATCAAACAGAAAGGTCAAAAAATATGGCAACCGAACATGTCGCTACTCGAGAGATTACAGTAATTTTTTTGAATAATAACCATTGCTGTAAAAATCTCTCAAAATAGTGAGCAGGCTGAACGTCTCCGAAATCGTATCCACATTCTGCTTCTTTCAGCACTGAGATTTCAAAAATAAACGCCGCACCTCGAACACCATCCGCAACGACTGGCTGATGTTAGACGGGTATTCATCAGATTTCAAAGGAGTGCAGAAATCCAGTATAATTCCGAGAACTCGTTCTTCCGAATACAGACGCAGTAGAACCGATGGTAATACATGAGAAATCAACTCAGCGTCACGCATATCGCACTTACGATACCTAAAACAGCAATCATCAAAATTCTCCGGGTTAGGACAGTGTCAGTTTTGTGAATCCAGTGATTCGCTAGTAGCGAATTCGTGGAGTCGTACTAGCGAAGGGCTGGATTCGAAAAGCCTGACACCGGCATAACATTCATCATTTTATCCAGCTTTTGATTTCAATGTGAATCGACAAACGGACAAAATGTGAACAAACGGTTACAGCAGGGAGATTATCACTGGCAACCAAAGACGATGTAAAACGCGGAACTTCCGTATACGTCAAAGATAATTTTGAAGAATTACATTTTTACACACATGTTTCAAATGACAACGCGTAGTGTGAATCCAACCAAACCCTCACAGTGAAGCTGAGTCGGAAGGGATTCTACGTGATGCAGGTTACTACGTGGATGAAGTGGATCACCACCAACCATCTATTCGCAAAAGAAGGTGACAAAAACGCAGTTGGCTCATCAGCACTTCATTTCGACTACAGGTGCCATATTTCCCTGTATATCCAGCCACTTTCCTCAGAAAACAATGCAACAGGGACAAGAAGATCCAATGATTTCTCATCAACCTTAATAAATTCGATGCAAACAGCCAGAAATCTTGCCAGGAGCGAGCACTATACGTAAAGGGAGCGTAGACAATGTTTGGAGTGTGTTCGAATATTAATTCCATACGCATGACTCAAGTCATTGGATATACAGGGTGTCCCATAAATATTGCACCAAATTTTGAGCTCAAATTCTGTAGGTGTTTATAGCTTTTCTTCCGAGATTGCAGACCTTTCAATCCTCTATCCTCTTTGTCAATGACCATGCCAAATTCCACGGCTTACCGTTCGGCCTGCATCTCATGGTGCGCCTAAACTTCAACAGAGTGCCTAACCTCTCACACAGCTAGGTCGGACATCCGGTGATGAGCATCGCGCTTCTTTGGATTTTCAACCGCTCCGCGGCCTACCGTGTACTATTGAAAAGATCAATGAAAGTAGT